TGCGATCACCGTGACTTCGGTTTTAATCGAAAACACCTCCCGTCTGAATTCTCCCGGTTATGAAGGCTCCTCGCTACGTTTCATGTGACCTTTGGGCAGAGCATGGAACTTTCTATTTTATTTTGTGGGGCCTTGAGTCGGGATCTTCTTAACGTGTGCTTGGAAGCGGTCATACCGGAACTCGGGCGCGCACAGAAATAGTGCCAGAGAAACCAGATACGCCGTAACTTTCTGCCTGATACCTGTTTGGCTTGGTGTCTAAACTTTTCTAAGTGTTTGGGGGGCCTTTTTATTTCCTGGGAACTTGGAAACTATGAAGAGGAGCTCGGTGCTTTATTAATTACCCTGGAGGACTGCACCCCGAGTCAGACTCTTGAGCATGGATTGCTAGGAGAAAGGTAAAGCTGGTCTTGAATGAAGCACTTCTGGCACGAGGAAGATGGAAGGGATCAACTCCATTTGGAAGGGGATGGTACCGAAGCAAACTTTCTTTTCAGCCTAAATTCAAGGAATACCGCCTGCCTGATTTCTGGGAAGGATACCGGTCGGTGCAGATAACATTCAAGGTTGTGCCTGTGCTGTGGGAAATGCTGGCAAGGAGGTGAGGTGTCTCTCGAGGGTATTTGGGATGGGTGTTTTGAACCTCTGGATCTTCCTCACTCCCGGGCAGGACACGCGAGGACTCCACATCGGCGGGGAGACCTCCCCACACCTCATCCCCGTGGGACCACTGAGTTCCCAATGCTCCGTGGCGTTCCCGTAGACCCGAACTGATTTCTTCCTTCGCAGCCTGCTTCGCTGATCTTTCCGGATTTATCTGCTGGAGGAGGGACTCGCAATATTGGATATTTTTTTAATTTTTTTTTTTAATTTTTATTTTTTTATTATTTTTTTTTTTTTTCAGTTTGTTTGTTTAAAATATGCCTCTGAGCTCCCAGCGGCCCTTGAGCACGTGGCACCGAGGAAGAGGGACGGCGATGGCGAGAGCCAGCGTTGCCCGTTGAGCCGCGCTGGCGGTGGCCGAGCCCCTCCGTGCCGTGCCCGGGGTCTCTCTGGGAGCGCACACTCGGACCCCCCCAAGGAGCTTTTCCGATCGGATCCCGCCGCGGGGTGAGGACGCGTTCCCGACGGTATGTGTGGCCCGAGCGCGCTGCTGCAGCTGGTAGCATGAGTGCTGGCCCCCAGCTGCAGCTGGCTGTCCTCTGGCCTTGGCTGCTCATGGCGACCCTGCAGGCAGGACTGGGCCACACTGGGCTGGCGCTGGTGGCCGCGGTGGAGTCGGAGCGGGCGGCGGCGCAGAAGGCCATCATCAGGGTGATCCCCCTCAAAGTGGAGCCCATCATCCTGGAAGGGGAGTTCGCCAACGTCGCCGAGGTGACCCCGGCCGAAGGGAAGCTGCTCCAGGTGAGAGCAGCCGCGCTTTATCCCGCTCCATCCCTGGCCCAGCCTCTCCCCGCTTTGCTGCTCCGGCTCCCTCGGGGTTTATTTCCCGGTGTGGATTCGTCCTGGGTGGGTTTGGCTCCACTCTGGGCTGAGGGGACGGGATCCTGCAAAGGGCTGATCCTTCCTCCGGCACCGAGCTGTGGCTGCGCCTTGTTAGGGCTGAATTGTGGATGTGGTCGGTTGATTCCCTGGTGATTATTTCATATCTTAATTGATGTTATAAAGCTGAGTGTGTCGAGTCACATGTTGGAACGTTAAACTTCTGACAGAAAACGGGATTAATATTTTTTCCTGTGAAATCCATGTGGTGTTCTGCACCCTCTGCTGATACCTGGGGTGCTGTTCCACCTCCAATAGTCGTCCAGGCTGCACCCACCAGAATCCCTGACCCTGCTCCTTGTTGCCTGTACCTGAAAGCTGAGTGTTACCCACACAGTAGCTCCAGTGGTGTCACCACCAGGCATTTTTTTAAGTGTATTAATGCTGATCTCTGACCTTTACAAAGGGAAGAGCATCTGAACACCCGGCTGGGAGGTGCAGGTGCTGCACAGTCACTCACTGAACAGCCCCATCTCCTGCACACGCTGAGTTTTGAGCTCAGTTTCCTGAGACCTGGCGTGCACTCTCTCAGTTCTGTGGGTAATTTGCTTTATTCTTGAGAACAAACAAAATAAATGACAAAATAGCCTTCATTAACATTAAATCTTAATTTTCGCATGGCTTTTTCCAGTCTGGACTTTCCAAATGGGGTATGTTGAAATCTTAATTACATTTGTAGCTTGGAAATTTAAAGTAATAAATTTATGTAGTTTTATAACAAAAGAAATACGGTTGAACCAGCTTTAGCACACGGTCACCTGTCTGAAAATGAACGTGGACAATTTGTTGCATGGTTTTCCACGCCTTTTGAATTCCTCGGAACGAAAGCTCTGCTATAAAATTATATTACCAGGCTAAAAAAAAAAAAAAATATCTTAGACAAATGTACTCAAGGTCCTGTTCTGTCGTGAGGCAATGTCCAGGAAAGTCAATATTTATTCCTTACAAAAACTACAGTGGTGTTGCAACCGAGCACAAAGTATAGAGTGGGACCTTTTGGAAGTGGGAGGATGATAACCTCTCCTGTGGGATGTGTGGAGGTTTGTAACCAAATGCAAGGATACCAGGAGGGAATTTCTGTGCCACCGCAGCGAGGTGTTTGGAATACAAAGCTGTGAACAGTGTCCAACGTCATCCTTTAAAAATCATCCTCAGGATGGAGGTGGCTGGGGAAGCACTACGAGTTTGGGTACACAGGCACTGCCCTGCACTGGGAGTGTTTTTAGGCCGCTCTGTGTGTGCAGGGGAGGGCTCCCATTCCGTATCCCAGTGAATCCAGTGCGGGAAGTCCTCCGGGTCTGGTTTCAGGTGGCAGTGCTGGGATGGGGGTCAGGCTGTGCCTTCTGCAGCAGGATGTTTGCCTGGTGCCAGGCACGGTGCTCTGGGAAAGCTTAGTCAAGTGTACCTGTGACCTCTCGTGTAGATCTCGTGGCGGGGTTTCCAATTCTGCTGCTAAATATTGAAACCCGGAACGTAAAAATGACTCCTGAAGTTGTTTGGGCCCTGATCCTTCAGTGCCCTCCTGCCTCTGGAAAGAGAAGATGGGAAATGGGGATGTAACCCTCGAGGAACAAAATAAGTGAGAAATTAATGGAAGGAATTGTTTTCAGTTTGCTTTTAGATAGCTGGGCATGAAATGCACCAGAATTAGGCTTTGTTGGAACATCCCATTTTGCACGTGGTTGTCAACATCCCAATCTTGCAAAAACTTTAGGTCACGTGCTTAACTTTGATGTCATTGCAACTCCTACTTAAATAAACTTAAGGCTGTGCACACGTAGCTGCACAATTGGTTCTTTAAATATAGTTTAGGGACGTAAAATTATCGCCTTTGCAGTTAATGAGTTAAGAAGTCTGGTTTTTGCAGCGTTTTTGGGTAGGTCTTGGTTATGTCAGACCCTGTAAGATGCATTTAGCCCTTCCAGGAGAACACGAAGTGCAGAGTTAGCTTGGGAAAAAAGTTGCTTCAGCAGAATCACAGAATATTCTGAGTTGGAAGGAACCCATAGGAATCACTGAGTCCAACTCCTAAGTGAAGAAAAGAGGCCCAGTCCTGTTTCCAAAGCAATGCTCCCTTCAGTCAGTGCTATAATAGGATTGCTCAAGGGTCAGTGGTGCAGAGTTGGCCCTACAGTCAAGTCCAATTCTCTTTAACTTGTAATTATCTTCATAGTGCTCTGGTCAATATATTTTTAGAAATACTTTCTTAATTCAATGTAGACAATCCTACACGTAAGTGATGGAGCCTCTCCAAAGCTCCTTCTCCCAGAACGTTTTCCTGGTTTCGTTTCTCCGTGCTCTGTTTTCCCGGGATCACCTACAGAAGTGGACTTGCATCGTAGTGTGTTCCTTTAACAATATCCTCTTTACCTGTAATAAAAGAACCCCAGTGTTGAATTCACCCTCACATCCCTTGTCCCTGTGGCCGGTTTTTGTGGGAAATCCCTGGATTTCCGTCGCTGCCCTGGTGTGTGGGGAGGAAGATGCGGGGGAGCCGCCCGTCCCTGCCGGTTCAACCCCGGCGGTGTTCCCACCTCCGGCACTCGGCGCTGCCGGAGTGATGCAAAGGGAGAGGAATTTCTCAAGCAGGCAGAGCCACTTAAGCCTTTATAGGTCAAAAAACCAACACCTCAGACTCCTTGCAGAAATCATCTTCAGGCTTGTTCGGTGCTCGAGCTTGTTGAGGGAGCACCTGCTCTGGGCTTTAACTCTTGCTGGGCACGGGAGGCTCCATGGGGAGCTCGTTGGCAGTTTCCAGGTTGGAAGTGTAGATTTGGAAGTTTAGGTTAGGGAGTTTATAGTAGGAAAATATTCTTCCCTGCCAGGGTGGGGAGGCCCTGGCACAGGTTGCCCAGAGAAGCTGTGGCTGCTCCATCCCTGGGAGTGTCCAAGGCCAGGTTGGACAGGACTTGGAGCAACCTGGGCTAGTGGAAGGTGTCCCTGCCCATGGCAGGGGGTGGAAGAGGATGAGCTTTAAGGTCCCTTCAACCCAAACCATTCCAGGATTCTGTTGGCTGCTGCAGGAGCCTGGACTGCTGGAAGAAAGTCCTGTGGGATTTAAAAACTGCCCCTGTATTAAAGATGGAGGAACCAAACCTTTCAGACAAGTAGGTTGGAAGGAACGTTTGGATCTTATGACAGTGGGCAATCCATGAGCAGCCCAGGACTGAGTGTGCATTCGGAATTGCAATTCCTGTGGCTGTTTGCAGATGAACTCCCTTTCACAGGATTGCTATAGCCAGTGTTCAGCCTCTTCTTTTGATACTTTTGCTGCTCTTTTAGCTGATTTTTGAGGAATAAATCCCAGTTTCCTTCTAGCCCGTGCCTCAGTCTCCGCTTGACACTGCAGACAGTTGATGTTGGTTTGAAGGTACACAGGAAAATAAGGAATGTGTCAGAAAGGAAAGGAGAGAATCACTGGAGAGAGCTGAGGGAAGAGTTAAGATTTTTCCAATTTTCCAGTTACAGCAGAATTCACATGCAAATCTAATTGTGGAAGAAAAAAAACAACCCTTTTCATTTGAGAAATAGTTCATCACTTCAAGTCTTGCTTAGGACAGTGTATATACCAGGATGCACCATTAAAACTGAGCATTAATAGCTCTTTATTTGAGTGTATAACCTCAGTCTTGTACACAGGGGAAGGATGATTCCATGAGTGTGTGTGTGTGGTGTGGCTGGGATCAGTACAGTCTCTACTTCCGTGGCTGGTATTTGGGAAACAGTGCTAAAAGTTTGGGAAATAGTGGTAAATGTTTAGGGAAAAGTCCCAAATAATGATATTTTAAAAGAGCTGGATAACCTCACATTACTACAGAGATCACCAATCACCTCATATGTCTACACACAGAAAATACCTGTGGATATGTGGGGCAGTGACAAAAGTACATAACCAGTTTTCCCAACGTGCATTATTGTATTGCAAGTCTCACAATACTTTGTTCCACTTCTGCACAAACTCAGCAGTTGCATAATGAGGTGATTGTAGGAGAAAGTCAACTTTCACTTACCCCCTGAGCTCATTGTTTTAACTTATGACTGATGGAAAGCACCTTGAAAAAAATAAAAGCAAACTTGAAAAAAACCCACACAGAACAAGCTCCCAAAGGTTCTGAGCCCCAAAACCAAGGATTATCCTCTTTCCTCTCCCCCTAGAGAAATGAATTCTTTAAAAGACATTCAAGTCAATCTGTTAGGGTAGAATGAGGGAAAATTGGAGGAGGAGGAGCCTGAATCATCATTTTTTAGGTGGTGTGTACAATTCAGAAGCTGAACGTCAGTCACAGATCCAGTCAGAGAAGGAGTGTGGTGTGTGTTTGTAACAGCAATGATAATTAACCCTTGGAATTGCTGCAGTAAACCCAACGGGATCACCCTGGACATGCAGAGTGTTCCCAGCGTTGCAGTTGGAATTATAATCAACTACTCCCCAGCTTATAGAGGGTTACACTCCCAACCCAGAGCAAAGTAAATATATTAGTATATTCTTCTATACTACCAGCTCCTGGATCAACAGAAGGATGTTGAGTGCACAGTGTTGACAGAGATCAAAGAAGTGGGAAAGTCGAACCAAATGATAATGGGGACTTAAATTACCTGTGAATAAAGTGGTCAGATAGCACAATACGAGGCAGTTCAAAGAAGCAATTTCTGCCTCTTGGAACAGCTCGTACCAGAGTACACAGACTTGACTTGGCGTTAAGTAATGTGCAAGAACTGCCTCAAAAGCAGCAATAATGGAGCCACTTGGCTTGACTGCAGCACAATAAAAATCGGTGCCCCAGCATCAGAAAGTGGGACTCTGACACGGCCCTTCAGGCCGGGAAATGGGAATGAGACAAACGGCTCTTGTGGATCAAATA